TTCAGTCATTAGATCCCATTTGTTTAGTTGTCTGTCTCTCTGGGTTCATTTTCTATCACCGCTATAAAGAGAAAACACCCCATCTCTGCTTCTCTTTCTCTGCTTCCAGAGTCACATGGCCCTTCTTCCTGTTCACGAGTCCCATCTTTCTCTTCTCGCTTGTATGTTGTTTGGGATGCTCATCCAGGTACACCAGGACAACTTCCTTCTCTCAGTAATTCTAGCCCAAGGCAGGAACACACCTATAGGATACAGATAGCCTTCCTTCTGCGCTCTACTTTCCCGTGATTGACTTTTGTAGACCCCGCATGTCTACCTGTCCCTGGATTATTTTATTCCACACAGTGTTCCTTAGATTTATTCACATTTCACACAGGACAGGATTTCCTGCCTACCTCTTTTTTTTTTTTTTAAATAGCACCTGACTATCTGGTTTAAGCCAGTCTTGAGCTCCTAGGTTCAAACCTCCCCTACCCTCATCTCAGTCTTTTGAGTGTCTAGGTCTAGATGTATGTGGCCAGCAAGACATTCTGCTTAATTTTCTTTCTTTCTTTCTTTCTTTCTTTCTTTCTTTCTTTCTTTCTTTCTTTCTTTCTTTCTGTGTGTGCATGTCATAGCATGAGTGTGGAAGTCAGAGAACAACCTGCAGAAGGTAGTTCTCTCCTTTCACCCATGTGCTCTAGGGATCAAAGACTGGCAGATGGCAGCAAGCACCTTTCCTGCTGAACCAGCATGCTAACACATACTCTGTCCTTTAAAGACCAGACTCCATTTCAGTGTTCATGCATGTTACATCTTACAATCTTCTCACTTGTCCCTTTATAGAAAATTGTAATTCTCTTCCTTGGCTACTGTAATCATGACTTTTCTCATTGCTGGGATGAAATCCCTGTCAAAATCAAGTCATAGAGAAAAGGTTCATTTTGGTTCACAGTTCAAGGGAAACAGTTCTTCATGGCAGTGAGTTCATGGCAGCAGAAACAGGAAGCAGCTGGTTGCATTGCCTCTGCTGTCAAGAGGCAGATAGAAGTGGGGCATAGTGGCGCATGCCTTTAATCTCAGCACTTCAGAGGCAAAGGCAAGTGGATCTCTGAGTTTAAGGCCAGTCTGGTCTGTAGAGGGAGTTCCAGGACAGTCAGGGGTACACACAGAAAATCCCTTTCTCAAAAAAGAAAATAAAACAAAGAACCATTCAGAGCCCAGAGCCCCAGGACTTGCAATGGTGTTGCTCCCATTTAGGGTGGTCTTCCACTCATTTTAATCAGTATTTAAATGCCAACTTCATAATAGCCAGCTTAACAAGTGTGAAGTGATAGTTCACCATGGTTTTAGTTTGTGTTTCCCAGACATTTGGTGATGTTGAATAATATTCTTTCTTATGCCTCATTTGTATGTTGTCTTTTGAGAAATATCTGTTCAGGTCTTTTGTTCATTTAAGAATATCTTATATGGAGTAATTTTACTTTCTTATTTTGTATCATCTCATTTGATGTTCATAAGAGCCTCAGTATCTCACAAAATCCCATTGGCAGCGATGAAATAGTGTGGTTAAATAACAGCTCTCTAAAGGGGACTCAGATCCAGACAGCCTGATTCTGGAGTCCTCACACTTTCCTGGCTCCAGACACCTTAGCACATCATGGGACAGGTAAAAGGGGGTGTGGTGGTTTGAAAGAAAATGTCCCCCAATGGGAGTGGTACTGTTAAGGGGTATGGCCTTGTTGGAGTAGGTGTGGTCTTGTTAGAAGAAGCATGTCACTGTAAGGGGCAAGCTTCGAGGTCTCATATATGCTCAAGATTCATTCACTGTTATACACTCCACTTCCTGTTGCCTGTAAGTTATAAGACTCTCAGCTCCTCTTCAGCACCACGTCTGTCTGCATGCCACCATGTCACACCATGATAATGTACTGAGCTGTAAGCCACCCATTAAATGTTTTCCTTAATAAGAGTCGCGGTGGTCAGGCTGGAGAAATGGCTCAGAGGTTAAGAGCTGCCTGCTCTTCCAAAGGTCCTGAGTTCAATTCCCAGCAACCACATGGTGGCTCACAGCCATATGTAATGAGTTCTGGTGCCCTCTTCTGACCTGCAGGCATGCAAGCAGACAGAATACTGTATACTTAATAAATAAATAAGTATTAAAAAATAAATTAAAAAACTCTATAAAAAAAAAGAGTTGCTGTGGTCATGGTGTTTCTTTACAGCAATAGAAATCCTAACTAAGACAGGGGGTAAATGATGTCTCAGAATGCATGTCACACCAGGCAGGAAAAATTCAAATAGTATAATGTTTGAGATTAGTGACAACTAAGCCAATGTGAATGTATCGGTCCCCTTTAGTCTTAGGAAGAGGAAGAGACCAGCCAAGATCACTCTGGTTAATGGTTTAGAAGTGTGAGACAAAGTTCAAGGGCTTTAAGATGTGTTAGACTTTCTACAGTAGGGAAAGTTGTCTTGGTGAGAAAAGGCACTTGCCTCAAGTTTGGTGACCTGAGTTTGATCCCTGGAGCCCTCATGGAAGACGAGAGTAGTCCTGAGTTCTGTGTGCCCCTCCCCACACAGAATGAGTAAATATGAAACAGAAAAGTTAAAGTAGAGAAAGTCTAACATGGGTGTCTTATTTGATTTTAGGCTTAGGAGAAGCCTAACATTATCACTATCATTATTATTCAATTCAATTATTTTTATTAAATTGATCAAGTTGTATATATAACTATTACTATAATTCAGTTTAAACATTCTTCTCATACACTTATTTGCAGTTAATCTTGGCTTCTACCTCCAGTCATGCGAAGCCATGCATACCTGTCCTGTCTCTGTAGACTTGTACATATACATGAAATTATAAAATATGTGATCTTTTACAATGATTTCTTCACATAATGTTTTTAGATGGATACACATTGCAGTTTTTATCAGTAATTCTTTCTTTCTTTCTTTCTTATTGTGGACCAGTAGACCATGCATGCTTCCTTTTTACGGTTGACCAATAATTTTACCTTAAACCACATTTTGCTGGCCTGTTAAATGACTCGCTCATTTTGGCTACCATGAATAACTTTTCTATGGATAGTCACATGTAAGGTTTTGCTTGGACATATGTTTTCATTTCTCTCAACATAGAGAGCTTGTGATTGGTTGGGTAAGTTATGTGGTAATTTTGTTTACTTTTGTTTAATTTTTGATATTTAATTTTGAAGAAAATATGTCCTACTATTTAAGTCAAGATGTGAAAACTGGAGAAAACAAAAAGCCCAGACAGGGGGAAGGGAAATGGTCTAGGCTGTGGAAAAGCACTAGTTCCATATGTGGTACCTATAAGGAAACAATTCTATTTTACATTGAAAACCCAATTCAAAATAGCCTTAAAGGAGGCTAGAGAAAGTCCAGCACCCAAGTAACAAGCTGAGAGACTCTTTGGGCATATGTAAACCCAACGCTGTGGGAAGCAGAAACAGAAGGACTGATTGACTTTGCTGTCTGCCAGCCTGATGAGAAAAAGTGAGTGCCAGGTTCAATAGACCCTGCCTCAAAAAAACAAGACACAGAGTGCGGTACCTCGTGCCTTCCTCTGGTGTCTACACGTGCACAAGTTCATTGCCCCCCATGTGTGTGCAACACACACGCATTATAAGAGGAAATATGTCCCTTTCCCAGTCCTGTGGAATGATAGCTGCAGAATCTCCATGACTGGGGCATCAGCAGGAGAGGCATTTTGATGAGGATCCAGTGGTGATGATGTGCTAGGGACCAGAGGCCTTGAACCAGACCAAGTACTCATTGCAATGAGCATTTGCAAGCGGGGTTGATTAGACAAAAGGGTAGACTGCCTGACACACCAAAGCTCCTAATGCCCCTAGGATGAATGAAGAGGTGTTGGAAAAGCGGGAAGGACAGAGTGGGATTGGGGAGCGTGATGTGAAATTCCCAAAGGATCAATAACAAATTATGTTATAAAAGAAAATGTGTCCCTTTCTTGAAAGTCATAAATATGCCTGCATCACACCAGGGCTGTCTTTTCCCAGTCTGAATTGAAAAATCCAATGAGAAATTACTTTCTGAGACACCACACTAATTAAAAACAAGACAAAGCAAGCAAGCAAACAAAAACCCAGACTCTGGCCTGGTACATAGGTTGGAAGGGACATGCACCAGAAGAAAGAATGTGTGACTGTTCCTTGTCTGTGTTGGGGCAAGCTAACCACCTCCCACACTTGGCAATAATGTTTGCAGGGTCCAAAAGTCACAGTTCTGATTCTGTTGCTTCCCAGAAGAAAAAATAGTATTGTCAAAGTATAGGAAAATGATCGTATTCAAGTCCTGTCTCTCTGAGACGCTTTCTTCCTGTGTCAGATTTTGTGACATTTATGTTGTTTTGTGTGTTCCTGGATGTTTTCCCTCTGTCTGCTCTTTAGTGCAAGACAGAGCAAGCATTCATGCCTCTGGTTGAGCCAATCAATTGAGTACACAATACCTTGGTTAGTCCAAGGTAACCTACATGTTTAAACATTGCCTGCAAAGACAGCTTCAGTACAACACAGTTACATTAAAAAAAAAAAAAAAACCCACGGCATGAAGTTTGGAGATGATTTCTAATGGGCCCCAAAGAGAGCTTTTAGTCCTTAGGCTATGACCGACCAGAAGTTCATGCCACATTAACTTCCCCATCTGAAAAGCAGGAAGGTCCCTTGCTACAGCTTAGAAAAGCGATTGGAGGAGGCAAATCATGCGTTTTTCTCGATGGTAAGCATTCTCCAAGTGCAATAATAAAGTGCCCGTTTCCTCTCTGTGATTTCAAACTGAACAGGAGACAAGGACTGGCGATCTAACCAGTTCAAGCAGTTCAAGGTTACTGTTGACTGTCTTTTTCATCACCTGCTTGTAATTCTTGCTTTGAACTTTCGGAAATGGCCCTCTGATTTTTCCCTTGTGACACAATATTGTTAGGTTCCTGTGGTTTGTTTGGTCTGTGACTATCGCCCGAGGAGAGGCAAATTACCTAGACCGGAACAACTGAAGGAAGGCATATCTCTAGTTAGTGTGATTGACTCAGAACTGGGCACATGATCCAACCTGGGCTGCTGAGAAGCCTGGAGTTCTTATCAAACCAAAGAGCCCTGTTTACTGTAGATTCTCTGAGGGGGAGAATTTCTGTTGAGAGCTACTCAGGAATATCTCTGATACCTGAGATGTTGGAAATCTTTCCATAAAAGGAGAGAAAAATCCCAACGGCGAGGACAGTGGAATTCAGAGATGAGGAAAGCAAATGCTATGGGACATCCTCTCAGCGGCTGGGCCAGTGGAGATACAGCACGGAGCACTCGGCACAGGTAAGCCATTTCCTCTGAGCACGGCCAAAGCTCTGTACAAAGCACAGGAACACAGACTTTCTTCCTACCTCAAAACGCCCACTCCCAGACATTCTGAAAACAATCGCAGCAGCGCCTGTGCCTTCAGCGTGGTTTCGGTCTGTACACAGGTGCCATACATCAAAACTTCAGTAAGTTAAAACTGGAGGAGTCCCAGAAGGCCTGCTACTTCCAAGGTAAAGTGACTGTCCCTGGACCATCTGCTGTGGTATAATTGGACTGGCATGATGTTGGAGTTTGGTGAGTGTATTTTAGTAAAATGGATTTCAGAACTGAAGATTCTTCATAGGAATGAATTCTAGGATCAATTATTAGATAGTGGGCAGCTTCTCAAAAAAAAAAAAAAAAACAAAGAGAATTGGGGACCTCAGAATACATCACATACAGCAAGGATAAATAATATTCCATGAAGTTTTTGTTTCTGATGGCTAGAAAAGCAAAGTTGCACATGTTCAAAGATTCTTAGGCAGTGAGTGAGTCTGATAGATTCTATGCATTTTTGCCATGGCTCAAGGTCAAAGTTTGAAAACCTCTTTAGAGGATATTAGAATTTCTTTTGTGGGTGTGTTTTTATCAAGAAGGAAGCACAGTATATTTTCCATATCAGTAAAGGGTTGCTTAGCATCGAAGTCAAGCCAGCCCCTGTAGACAGCATGGATTCTAAATGAAGGCTCTGAGCCTGAGTTATAGACACATTTTCCCTGTTTGCTCCTGCATTACTAAGCCACCAGTAACAAGGGTGTGCTTTACAGTACTCTGGGATTCTTGGGGGGTTGAAAGTGCTGCATAAAATCAAGTCTAGTCTGTTTATGGATGTAATTCCCTGTGCCCAGAGATCAGGATGTGTGCTGTGGTCTGAATTACACTGCATCTGATTCTCATTAACTGCTCGTGATTCCCCCCTGGATCCGGTTTCTCTGCCCTCTCTGAATTACTGTGCACATGGCTGGCTTCTGCAGAGTGCTCAACCCTGGCCGTCGGCAGTCAAGTCTGTTGCTCTGTTATAACCCAAGCTGCAATTGGAGCAGACCCTAAGAGGAGTGTTTTAGAAACACACACACACACACACACACACACACACACACTCAAAAAAAACCTGTCAAATGATCAAAGAAACTCACTGAGCTATATGTTTCTGCATTGGTGAGCTGATTACCAAACACTACAGACAGGGGTATGTGGTTTGATGTCTTAGGCCCAGAGAAAAGAAACTAGACAATAAATGTTTATTATCAGCACATGCATTGTGTTCCCGACTGAACTGTGTCCCTTTAACATAGGCATGTTGGAGATTTGGCTTCCAGCATGATTTGGAGAGAGGGCGTTTAAACAGTAAAGGGCAGATGAGGAAATAAAGGTGAGGCTCTAATTCAATAGGACTGGTGGTTCTATAGAAGAGGGGAAACAAGGAAGAAACCCCTCTCCTTTGTCTCTTATGTTCCACACACACCAAGGAAAGACCAGGTGAGCACATAGGGAAAAGGTGGCCATTTGCCAACCAGGAGGGAGCCCTCCCCAGGAACAGACCATGTTGGTACCCTGATTTCTGGATTCCAGCCTCCAAATCATCAGGAACACAAATGCCCATTGTTGAAGTCATCTACTCCATAGTATTTTGTTATGGCAACCCAAGCTGACTCAGACAGAGGACGAGCATAGCTCTTCTTGATTCCCTCACCATACAACAACAGTGTTACACACCTCTAGTCCAGGAAATGTCCATGTGTGGTACCCAATGTGGGCGGTATGCTCTGAGTCCTTGGGGATTATTTGTTCATGCAAGCTTCGTAACAGCTCACAAGCAGGTTGACTAATAGTCTCCTAGCTTTTGTTTGTTGTCAATTTGACACAAACTGGAGTCTGGAAGTAGAAACGACAACTGAGAAAACGCCATCATCTGATTGGTCTGTGGGTAAGTCCATGGGGGTATTTCCTTGACTGAGGTGGGAGGGCCTAGTCCACTGGGGGTGATGTCACCCAGGCAGGTGGTCCTGTGTAGTATAAGAAAGCAGGCTGAAAGACTGGAGAAATGACTCGGTGGTTAAGAGCACTGGCTGCTCTTTCAGAGGACATAGGTTTGATTCCTAGCACCTACATGGTAGCTCACAACCACCAGTAATTCCAGTCCCAGGAGATTCAGCACCGTAGTCTGGCTTCTGCGTGTACCAGACACACAGGTAGTATGCAGGCATACTCGCAGACTCATATGCAAGCAAAACACACACCAAAAGCAAGAAAAACAAGCAAGAAGAAAAGAAAAGAAAGCAAGCTGAACAAGCCATGGGGGAGCAAGCTGGGAAGTATCATTCCTCCATGGTGTCTGCTTCAGTTCCTGCCCCTGGGTTCCTGCCTAGGCTTCTCTCAACAGACTGTGCTTTAGGATCTGTAAGATGAATAAAACACTTGCTCCACAGATTGTTCTTGTTCATGGTCTGCATCGCAGCAGTAGAAATGAAAGGGAGACAGCAGTGACAGACTCCCAGGGTTCAGTATTTACAACCACACATGTAGCTTTCTTCCTCTCCCGTGGACCTGAGTTGGGTCTGGAGTTGGAGAAGAAAGTCACCTGGAAGTGATGCATGCCTTCCTGCTTCTCATTGGCTAAAGCAAACCCCGGGGTCACTTCAGGAAACTGAGGCAGTGCTATCCTCCCATGTTTGGAAGGAAATGAAGCAGGCATCTTCCTTGAGCAGAGAAGTGTTGCTGTCATCCTCTGAAGAACAGGCTTTTACTGATGAAACACACAGAGTTTATGGACCCGTGCCCTCGTGCATGCAGCTAATAAACGGAGTAAAGTTAGCAAGCAGAGCAAATCAAAACATCAAACACCTAGTTAGATTTGAATGGCAGATAAACAACAAACAAATTTTTAGTAGAAAGACGTCCCAAATCTGCGTAAGGAATATATTTACTCTAAAACAATAGTTTATCTGAAACACAAACATAACATCGTCCTTTGTGTTTTAGGCAGGTAGCCTTAATCCAGGCAGTCCCCAGATAGGACTTTGGCTCCAGAGAAGAGTAATATTCTATTCTGTACCAGTCTTTTGCTTCTGCAACCTTGTTTTGTGCTTCTGCCAAACTTATTTATTCCTTAACCAGATGACTAATGCTGAAAGAAAATTTAGGACCTCTCCATCAGAAGGGAAAGTGCTTTGGAAATGTTTTCCCACTGATCATTTCTTGATGAGGAAATAGAATCTCTCCTGCCCCCCCCAAATGGATCCTCCTACATTCAGACATGTTTAGTAAGCTACTGCCTAATGTTTCTCAGTTAATGGAAAGGAAGATGTGGGGTAGATAATCGTAATGACCATTAACCCCTCAAACTTGCCCCAGGGAGATGGAAACTGGTTGCCTTTTTCATTTTGAAGCACTTAGGTCAATAATGCAATTACTTTGTTTCCTCTGACCAAAGTGACTGAGAATTCAGGCTTGAGGGGTTGAAGCCATACCAGCGGTAGACAGTAGTGATGTCATCATGTATGAGGGTGAGCATGGGTATGAGATGGCAAGTTTGCAGCCAGCTGAACAATCCACATTTCTGCTTCTGTTTTGCTGTGTATGTGTGTGTGTGTGTGTTGTGCACGTCTGTGAGATAGGAGGCCAGAAGATAACCAGAGAAAGATGTTGGATGTGCTGCTCTCCCATGTTCTATATTATTCCCTTGAGACTGGGTCTTTCACTGAATCTGGAGCTAGGCTGATAGCCAGCAAGCCCCAGAGATGTTCTGGTCCCCACCCACAACAAAACTGGAGTTATAGGGATACCTAGCCATGCATGCTGGGATCCAAATTCAGGTCCCCATGCTGATGTTATCAAGCACTCTTAAGCTTTGGGATAAGTCTTCTATACACTGTGAAGATATGTTGCTCTCACTGGTTAATAATAAAAGCAGCTTTGGCCTACAGCAAAGCAGAATATAGCTAGGTGGGAAAGCCAAGTTGAATACAAGGAGGGGGGGGGCAGAGTCAAGAGAGATGCAAGCCAGCCACCCAAGAAACAAGATGCCAGGAAACTGAAAAGCCATGGCCACGTGGTGATACATAGATGAACAGAAATGGTTATTTAAATGTAAGTGCTAGTTAGCAATAAGCCTGAACTATAGGTCAAGTGGTTTGTAATTAATATTAAGCCTCTGAGTGATTATTTAGTAGTGGCTACAGTGCAAGGTAGGACAGAGAAACCTCCGTTTACGTTCTTACCCACTGAGCTATTCTTCTAGCCCCAGGATTCCACGTTTTGTAGATGGCTTGCGCAAGTAATTAAGTGTTGACAATGGATATAGCTGACATCTCATTGATACTTAATTAGTAACTATTCACCACCTGGCACCAAGTCTGGCAGGGAGTGCGAAGATAGTTAATGCCATGTGAGCTTGCTGATAACCTATAATGCCTATTTTGCAAATGAGGAACTAACTGGAAGATGGGCTGAGTGAGACTGATTAAAACAGGCCAGCTTCTAAAAGGCACTGAGAGTAGGCAGTGACTTTGATTTATCTGAGGATGAGTTCGTAGGAGTCCTCATTACTTCTCTTAATTTGACTTGGACTTCCAAGGTCTGGTCTCAAGTGGCTGAAACCAGTGACTCATGGCCCCCACTAGGAATAATGACTAACAGACCATTAGGAGGGAATCGACTGGCTTGCTTGTTCCCTTGCATGAAAGGTAATCAGTACATGAGATTAGTTTCTTCTTGCCACTATGTGGCCCGAGTTTCACTCCTTAATCCTCTGAAAAATAAGACAAAACTCTTCCCTAGGCTAGGTTTTAATCCATGGTGTTTCTTGTAATTTGCTGATCCCAGCGAGTGAAACAGCTTTCACGAATGTCTTGTCACCACCTGAGTGTTCCCTTTCTAGAGTACCTGTTTGATACAAAAGTGCCATTATGCTGTTTCCCTTGTTTGTTTGTTTTTGTTTCCAGTAATGAATATTGAACCATGGACCTCTACCACTGAGTTAAAATCTCACTACCTACTAAGTTAAAAGATAACTCCCTGCTGGTTAGACCTTTTCAGACTATTGCTGACATGAATGTGGATTCTCACCATATGTCTTAGGGCAAGGACCAAGAGAAAGCAAATGAAGGCTAGAGGGATTGATGCCAATCAACTCTGATGGATTCCTTTGGCTATATAGAGATGGATATCACAAGCTGGGTGGTCGTAAACTCCTTTAATCCCAGTTTTTTGGAGGCAGAGGCAAGTGGATCTCTGAATTTGAGGCCGGCCTGGTT